CGAAAAAAAAAATTTTAAATGGTTTCATTGATATTTATTGGGTGCCTTAAAACAATATGATTAAATAAAGCTTTCACACCTGTTCCTCATTTCTTTCTACATAATGCCTTTAGCATTCATCTTTAAAAAATGGTAGACAGACCCTAATGAAAGACATGCCTAACCTTTATAGCAATTTCACTTATTCCATTTACTCTGAGTTATGTATTTCTTCATAGCTATGTAGCGGCCTGCAGCTATTGCCAGCAGGAGAGTGGGGTGGGGGGAGGTATTTTTTCATGCTTTGTGTGTACAAAAGATCTTCTATACTTTCCACAGTATGCATCCGATGAAGTGAGCTGTAGCTCACGAAAGCTCATGCTCAAATAAATTGGTTAGTCTCTAAGGTGCCACAAGTCCTCCTTTTCTTTTTGCGAATACAGACTAACATGGCTGTTACTCTGAAAGCTGAGAGCTGAGAGCTTCTTAAGGAGGCTGTGATCCCTAAGCCTTTTAGCACCATCAACGCTTAACAAGGGGGCGGAGCTACTCAGGGAGACCAGGGCTTTAAAAAGCCCGCTCCTAAGCGACCCGAGGGGGGTGGGCACCAGAGGCATGACAGGTTACCCATAACACTGGAAACCCTGACAGAGGTATCAAGGGCTCAGTCTGCAGCTGTGGGAGGGAGGCCATTTTATTTAAGGTGGTATTTGTTGTTACCATCTTTGGTGCTTTTAGAATCAGCGAGCTGGTGCCTAAGGCAGCTGCGGACAGGCCTCAGCGTGCACTCAACCTAACAGACGTGCAACTATCTGCAGGGGCAGTGTCCTTGCACTTAAGGTACTCGAAAGCAGACCAGAAGGAAAAGGGGGCTGAGGTGGTGTGGAAGGAATGCACAGATGAGTGATTGTGCCCTGTGAAGACAATAAGAGCCTTACTAAAAATCCGGGACCTGCAGCCAGACCTGCTGTTCATACACGGCGATGGCAGCTTCGTGACAAGGTACCAATTTAGTGCACTACTGAGGAAAACCTTGCACTACTGGGGCCTTTACCCGGGTAAATTTGGTACTTATTCTTTCAGGGTTGGAGCAGCTGCAAGAGGGTTTGGCCCATGGCAGTACAGGCCATAGGGCACTAGAAATCAAGGTGTTACAGTGCTCACATCTGCACCAAGGAAAAGAGGGCAGGGAATGCCAAAATGTAACTAATGCAGTGCGCTTGTTTGTTTCAGGAGCTACCCAGAGCGTATGGACCATGTGGATTTGTGGGCACTCCATAGTGCATTGGGCCCACAAGAGGGCAGGCAGGATGGCAGCTGGATCTCAGCTGGGCTTCAGGGCCGAAGTATCTCACATCCAGAAGAGGCATGCAGTGGGATCAACTCATTGCACTTTTGCTCTTGCTGACAGGCCAGGGCTGGGAGCAGACTCAATCTGCATGGACAGGGCTAGAAGGAAAGTAGGTCACCAAGATATTCAGTGATCCAGCAAGGGGACTTCTTCTGATGGGCCTTGGGCTCATGTGATAGGATAAGACCTTGTGGCCTTCATGGGCCGAGGTCAAACCTGGGTGATGCCAAGGTCCCCACCCAGCTGTACTCTCTGTCCCCTCATGGGGGGGTGGGGGGTGGGAAGGGTGCTAGGACTCAAAGAGCTGAGTCCTGGGGGAGGGTGGTGGGGGGTAGGCTGAGGAGCGCCTACCCCATGTTATGGGTTATGTGTTACAGAGCCCTTTAATCCTGGCCCTAATTATGGTAAATATGGTAAGGAGCCCTGTAAACCCCCCACTGGAACCAATTCAATGTATGGGTGATGGGCAGGTAGCACCCCGCCCCCGTGTTAAAGTTCAGTATAAGTTGCAGCCTGCTGCTCAATTCAGTGCATGTGTCTTCATTTTGCTGCTGTGTCCACATCAACTCCCTCCTGCCTGAACGGGCCGTCACCGAGACACATCGTCCCTGGATGACTAACTTTGACTCCAAGCCCAGAAAGCAGACTTTTAATATAAATATATCATTCCTGAGATATTACCCCTACATACAGCTCACAATGATTATGAATCTTGACAAGTTACAAGCTTTCTGTAGACAGATTACATGACACTGTTTATGGAGAAATAAGACAATCCGTGTTTGGAGCAGTGAGTTTGTCAGGTCTGAGGAGAGAGTTGTTTGCAAAGAACAGGGGACCCTTCGCCAGGGAGCCTCTGTGTCATAAACCCCTAAAGCCTTAAGTCATTTGGGCCCTGCCTACTGTAGAAGCCCCTCTCCACATGCCCTACTGCTGCAGTTGTGGTCATAAGAGACACCTGTCCTGGAGACACCCTGTTTTAAAAGGGATGGGGCTGGGGACAGGGAATCTTCAGTGGGAGATCCCAGCTTTGGACATAGTTTCCCCAGCTGGTCCATCAGCATCCAGATTTGTGAATGGGAATGGGACAGGTGTGCAGGGAGTTGAGAAGAAAGCTGTCAGGGCTTGCTCAGCTCTTCTCCTAGGGGCGGTGGGTGGCTGGGAAAGAAGTTGGGATTCAAGAGGCCTTTTAGGGCATCCTCTTTCAATTCTTTTTGGCAGGTTGTCACTCCGAGTACTGTTAGAGGTTCATAGTCTAGATGTGACTGAAGAGGTATTGGACTTCATCCAAAGGCCACTAGAGTCAGTTAGAGCCTTCCCATGCACTTTGTGGATTGGGATTAATCCAGGGGTGGGCAAACTTTTTGGCCCCGGGCTACATCGGGGTTGCGAAATGGTATGGAGGGCCGGGTAAGGAAGGCTGTGCCTCCGCAAACAGCCTGACCCCCGCCCCCTATTTGCCCCCTCCCACTTTGCACCCCCTGACTGCCCCCCTCAGAACCCCCGACCCATCCAACCCCCTCTGCTCCTTGTCCCCTGACCGCCCCCTCCTGGGACCCCCCTGCCCCTAACTGCCCCCCGGGACCCCATCCCCTATCCAACCCCCCCTGCTCCCTGTCTCCTGACCGCCCCCCCTTCCAGAACCTCCGCCCCATCCAACCTCCCCCTGACTACCCCCTTATGCAACCCCTCTTCCCCCCGCCCCCTTACCATGCTGATCAGAGCGGCAGAACAGGCTTATTGGAAAGCCTGGGAGGTGGGTGGGCGCAAGCCGCGCGGCTGCAGGGGAAGAGGGACAGTGGGGGAGGGGCCGGGGGCTAGCCTCCCAGGCCGGGAACTCAGGGACCAGGCAGGACAGTCCCGTGGGACGGATGTCGCCCGCGGGCCATAGTTTGCCCACCTCTGGATTAATCCTACTGAAAGGCACACTCTAGGAATCTATAGAAACACACCAAACAAACATAGCAGTGGGTGGCAGATTCTTGGCAAAGGATCTGGCTTGCAGGACAATGGATTGTAGAGAAAACAAACGAATGTTCTAACAAAGCCAATTTTCTTCTGAGCTCAGACTGTCACTATACTGCTATACCCTAGTATGCCCACACTGTGAGTACTGCATGCACTTCTGGTCGCTCCATCTCAAAAAGAGATATATTAGAATTGGAAAAGCTACAGAGAAGGGCAACAAAAATGATAAGTGCTTCCATATGAGGAGAGATTAGAGAGACTGGGACTGTTCATCTTAGAAAAGAGATGACTGAGGGGGGAGATGATAGAGGTCTATAAAATCATGAGTGGTGTGGAGACATGAATAGGGAAGAGTTATTTACCCCTTCATGTAACACCAGAACCAGGGGTCACCCAATTAAATTAATAGGGAGCAGGTTTAAAACAAACAAAAGGAAGTACTTCTTCATGCAGTGCACACTCAACCTGTAGAACTCGTTGCCAGGGGATGCTGTGAAGGCCAAAAGCATAATTGGATTAAAAAACGGAATTAGATAAATTCATGGGGCTTTGGTCCATCAATGGCTATTAGTCCAGACGGTCAGGGATGCAACCCCACGCTCTGGGGGTCCCTAAACCTCTGACTGCCAGAAGCTGGGACTGGATGACAAGATCAATTACCCCGTTCTGTTCATTCCCTCTGAAGCATCTGGCAGTGGCCACTGTTGGAAGACAGGACACTGGGCTAGATGGACCTTTGGTCTGACCCAGTGTGGCCATTCTTATGTTCACTGAGCAATCCATTAAGGTCTCCCACAAGGAGCACACTGGTGCTTAATACTGAGCAGGAAAGGCCACAAATCAGGCATGTGCAATTGCTCATCAGCACAAGCCCTTTAACCTTCACAAAGCAGAGCAAAGAGGGTAGCTTTCTATCTGCTGTGGAACCCCTGGTGTGGATTCTGACCCATGCCAGATTTAAACTGGTGCCACTTCTCCAAAGCTAATGGAGTTGCTCCTAATTTACACCTGCACAAGTAACAGCAGAATCAGACCCCGTCTCTTTGAGCTTCGTGACTTTTACACATTTCAATCACAATTATCGATGGGCCAAACCACAGCCATGACCTGTACTCTGGGACACTCAGAATGGATCTGACTCTTGTGTTTTAGCCCCGTCTGTAGTTAACACTACCCTAGGGCAGGTTTTTGCACTGACTCCTTTCCAGGTTTCTGATCACTGTTTTGTTTAACAAACTTTGCTCCATTTCCCTTCCTACCCTTTCTAGATCTGTGCAAGTCCGCTGAGCTATGTAGCACCCTGGAGCTGCAGTTTCAGGGAACCTGTGTCTATGTACCCAACTGAGCATATAGCGAAAGCAAGAGAGAACCCCACAAAGAAGTTAGTGATGAAAGAAAAGGCTTTGGGGTAGCCTAAGACCTTAAGAATGATAAGAAAAATAACAGGGCTTTTCAGACCCAATGACTTGCAGCTGTTCAGACAGCAAACTCGTGTTTCACCCTCATATCCACTGACTCAGCTCTTGTTTATTCTGGATATTCATCAATGGAGTCATTTGCTCAAACATAGCATAAGCTTTTCAAACAAACATATGCCTCCAATGAAACTAACAAAAAAGGTAGGTGGGGACTCGACTGAGTGAAATCAGCTCAGGGGAAATGACACAGCCCGTATTTAACTGAACTTGCAAAGAGACGGAGACAGAGACTAGAGGCAGCTGCAAAGAGACCATGGCAGGGTTTCATGTCCGTAGTGTCCTGGTGACTGGATCCAATCGAGGAATTGGTCTGGAGCTGATCAAGCATTTTATAGGGAAACCGAACCCACCTGAAGTGATCTTTGCCACCTGCCGGGACCCAGAGGGAGCGCGAGCGCAGGTGAGAAGCAGCTTTTTTGCTTAGCTGAACTTTATTTTAGAAAATGTTCCCCCAAAAGGCATGGAATAAAAGCGGGTTTAGATGGCAGATCCCATGAGAACTGAGTGAGTCTGTAACAGGTTTCCCAGCTGAATGTTCCCCTCCACCCCTGAAACCTCCTGCCCTGCTAAAACAGGGAACCTTGCAAGTTGCAGTAGGAGGCCTGATTTGGACTGACCCCAATTTTACCCAACCCTAACACTACTGGGCCTGATTCTCCACTGCCCTGCACCTTATGCAGAGTGGGTGTGAGGTGCTGCCATTCTGTTAGCTCCCCCCAACACACACACAGACATTCTGTCCGCTTCTGCCCTCCCTCTGCACACAGATCACCCCCAGTCATTGCTGCTCAGACATTGCTCCTCCACTCCCCTTGACACTAATGAAACTCTACTGCTGCACGTTAACTATACGGAGCTCTCGTGCACGTTGTATCACTCACTTGTCCCCATTATCATGTAAAGTATTGGCTCCTCGCAGAGCCGCAGCTAGAACATCACCGATATGTTACCCTGTAATGATGGCAGGGAGCCTGGCACATTGCCCAATCAGGTACCCGATTTGTTTCAGATCCATAGGCCTGGATGCCAGGGGTCCAAAGCAGACCTGGCTGATGTTCAGGCTTGGCGTGGGGAAGGATGCTGCTATTCCATAAACGCTCAGACTGAATCCAACACTTTGTCTGAATCCAAAAGTGCATGATTTCTGCCCGACCACCTCACCGCCTCTGAGACCCCAGCCCTCCTTCCCCAGCAGTGCTGGGACCACCCATTAACCCTTGATGTCGCTGTGGAGGAAGTGAGGTTTGCCTGTTGTCCCATAATCCTTCCTATAGTGGGAGCTCTCCCTGTGATGCTTCTTCCTCTCTGCTCTCCTTGCCCGAGCCCAAATGTCTATAGTGCTGCAACTTGAGCTAGGGGCCCTCCCACCTCTCAGGGTCCTACAATCTGGGCTCCTGCAAAGCATGAACATCCACACTGCAATTAAGCAGCCCCTTAGCCTGAGCCCTGCGAGCCTGAGTCTGCTGGAATGGGCCAGGCAAAGGTGTCTAATTGCAGTGTAGACATACCCTGCGAGGGTAATAAACTAAGTTCCCTCTAAGATAGCCCCAGCCCAGGAGCTGCCCCAGCGGGGATAGGCACCTCTCCCCTGGCCCTGGAGCTGCCGGGGCGAGAGAGATCTGGGGGGAGTCCTCTCTCCCCAATGTAGGCCCGGGACACCCTGAACCCCAAACCCCTCATCCCCAGCCCCACCCCAGAGCCCGCACCCCCAGCCAAGCCCTCACCCTCCCGCACCCCAACCCTCTGTCCTAGCCCTGAGGCCCCTCCCACATCCCAAACCTCTCATCCCCGGCCCCAACCCAGATCCCGCACATGCAGCCGGAGCCCGCACCCCCCCACACACACTCCAACCCTCTGCCCCAGCCCTGAGCCCCCTCCTGCTCTCCGAACCCCTCGGCCCCCACCCCTGCCACACATCACCTCCATATTGATGCACACAACAAAATTCATTCTGCACATGGACGTAAAAAATTAGAGGGAACATTGATACTAAATGGCTACTGCTCTCGAGCAACTGTCTTCAGGGAGGATCCCAATGGCCCCCTGCCTCTCCGTATCTGCCCATGGCTTGTCATGGAGAGGCAGGCCAGAAACCGATACCTAGAGCTGGGTGAATAATGGATATTTTGGTTTGCTGGCAATTCCAAAAAAGCAGACAAACAAAAATATTGTTTTGGCTCAAACCAAAAACAATTTTTACAAAAATGTTAGAAATTCGAAAAAAAAATCTATTTTGGGTCAAATGAAATGTTTGCTTCGATCTGAAACAAAATATTCTGATTCTGAGCAATTGTAAATGGTTTGGAAGGTTTTTTTTTTTTTTTAAAAATTATAGGAAATTTCCAAACAAAAGTTGTTTCGAACAGAAATATTGAAACATTTTGATTTTTTCAGGTTTCTCTAGAAACCAACACAAATTCACAAGCTCTTTTGGTGTTATCGAATCTGCAACTTTGGTCAAAGGAGTTTTGGCCAAAATTATTCACCCAGCTCTGCTGATATCCCCAACCCGACCCCCAATCCCCATATGACAGCAATGGGGCAAAAACGGTTTCTACCTTGCTACTTTATCACTGGTGCTAAAAGATGCACCTTGACTACTTCACAGCAGCCCACAGGAGATCTGGGAGGTTCCTTAGCTGTTTCTCAGGGCAATTACTAAAACATGAGCTGATCCCCAGTGCCTGCTCCTGGGGGCTCTGGAGAGGAGGCCCCTGCCCAGCAACGGGAACAAGAGAAAAATCTGTCAACAGGAGTGAGTGATGGGTATGGGGTAGCAGGTGAGTGATGGCTGGGGCAGAGTTGGGAGAATGGGGGAAAGAGGAGAACTGATGGAGAGAGGTTGAGGGGATGGGGAAGGAAGAAGAACCAGGAGGCAGGTTAAAAGAGAGGATGGTTGGGGGAAGAGGAGTGACAGACAGAAAAAGGGAGTGAACAACATGCAAGGTGTGTGGTAAGGGAAAGCCAGCTGAAGGACAGACTGGTTGGGGAACAGCATGGGGTAAAGGCCCTAGGCAGGGGAGAAGCTGGGACTTCATATGCACCCACTCTGATTTTTTGGTTGCATGATGACCCAGGTTGTTCCCATGGTCTTCACCCAGAGCAGTGCCCTGGTGTTCCCAGGCCAGCCACAGGGTCAGCTTCTGCTCTCTGTTAAACTCACATACCCCCATTCAAATGAATGGGATTGCATGTGGGTGACAGCAGAATCTGTGCCGTAGGGCTGTGGGTGTTCTCGGTGCCAGGGCTCTGTCTGACGGGGCGATGCAGCATTTGTGCCTGTGTTTTCACTTAGGTTCCATAATGCTTTTTTTTTTTTTTAATTCTTCTTCTTCTTCTTTTTTTCCTTCCAGGAATTAAAAAAATTGGCTTCCAAGCACCCAAACGTTATGATTGTGCAGCTAGGTACGTCCTCAGCACATCTCTCCTGCCAACCAGCACGCTGCAGACACTGCATGGCCGGCTGTCCTTTAGCTGCTTTCTGATTCGCAGTCTCTGCTCTGACCCTTTCCACGTCCATTCTTTTCCAGCTTCCTAGCACCTGACTAGATCATAATCACTAGTGCAGCTAAATGGGCCTCAACTTGTTAGTACACTGCCCGTGTCAGTGGATTGTAGTTCTTCATCGCTGAACAATGCAGAAAGCGCAGTCACAGAGGCTGCCTGCCTTGTCTGGTAATCTGTGCCAAACACTGAACCTGGTTCTGCTCCCTTTAAATCAAAGAGGTGTTCTGTTCTGCCGCTGAATGCAGCATAGGAGCAGGACTGGATCATGCTCACTTTTGTGAGAACTGCAGTGGGAGAAGATGACAAACTAAATCTCAGCCAAGCCTAGCGTCGCCGGGAACAGTCTTGATTGACAATAATAGGTAGAATATGCCTGAATGTTCCTTATACAACATGCCCTAAGGTGGGGTGAGGCTGTCATAGCAACAGAACTCATCTACTAATACATGACCATACAATATACCAAGGTGTTGAATGAGGTTACATGTTATGGAATCGTTCAGAAGAGATTAGGTGATTACAGTTTCCAGATCCATTCCAGTCTTAGTACAGTTTTTCCCCCTCCCTTCTAACTTTCTCAAAAATAAATCTCCCTTAGCCTGAAAATTCACAAAATTATTCCCCAGACAGAAGTGGTTTGTTGTGTTTTGTTTTGTTTTGTTTTTAGTCTGTTGTTCACCCTCGCATGCATGCAGATTCTTCTTTAGATTATGACCCAGGTTTTAACAAATTCAGTTGAGAAAATGTCTTTGGTTTAAATTGGTCTGAATTTCAAAGAGGCCAGTTAGAGTCATTGAGAGCCTGATTATGAAAGGAGCTAAGCACATGCATCTATCAGTGCCTTCAGCCGGACTTCTCAGCATCTCTGAAAACCAGGCCCAATGGTGTCTCAAGACAGGCACGCAAAATTAGTGGACACTTCTGGCCAAGATCACACAGGAAGTCTACGGCAGAGTTGGGATCCTGATCACCTGGTTCCTAACCCCGTGTTTTAAGCACATGACATAAAGTCTAAGCTCCTAAATCCATATTTAGGCACCTGAATAGACATGAACTACTGGCTTTCAGTGGTCGATCAGGCTACTAATATTCAGGTGCCAAAATATGGCTGTAGAAGCCTAACTTTAGGCACTCAAGTTTGACCATTTGTATCATAAAACTGAAACACAAAAACACTTGGAAGTTCTCAGCTAAGGTTGTCCATGATTGACATTCATTAACTTAGAGTAAATTTGTAAATTAGCACCAAGCTAGTTTTGATAAAACAGCTTTAAGTTGGCCAAAAGAGTCATTAGACACCGTTTTCACCTCTCTACTGCACAAATCACCATCGCGTCTTCAAGTTACGTAGTACAACGTTAATGAGGGTAGGTGCAGCCATGAAAGCAGTCATTCCAAAATTTCCCTTTCCTTTCCAGAAGATCCTTCCTAAGTTTGCATCCAAACCCACACATCTAAGTGTAAGTGGCATTATATGAGTCTAACTTTGCACTTAAGATCTACTCAATAAACTCTTATTGCACTGAAGTCTCCAGTTCAGTAACCTAGAGATGTTGCCAGGAAGGCACAGGTCTGGGCTGGCTTGTTCTCAATTAAAAGTGCCTGGAAATACTTTATGAACTTTTTGCCTGAAACAGGAAATCCCTGACTGGATTTGTGCTCCCTGCCGTGACCTCAGGAATGGAGCGCACATTCTAACAGTGATGTGGTTAAAATTGGGTTGCGGGTTGTGAACGATCCATCAGAGTTAGGAGTGAGCCAGGCCTCTGCTCAACATATTAACTGAATTCTCTGTCAGCTGTCTCTAGAGATGGGCTTTTAACCAGGCTACCAGAACTGTGGCTGTATTTATTTCATATAGTATCAGGAATGGAACCAAACCGTGCTCATAACCAGTCCTGTATTCTCTCTCCAGAAGCTACAGACTCAGCGAGCATCAAGAGCGCTGCAAAGAAAGCTGAGGCCCGTCTGGGAGGAACTGGCCTAAATTTGCTGATAAATAATGCTGGCGTTATGCTACCAAGCACACTTGAGTCAGCCACTCCTGAAGATATGTTAAGTGTCTATAACACAAACATTGTTGGGCCGCTGTTAGTGACCCAGGTAAGAGTCCACCTTCGGGTGAGAATACTTAGGATTTTTGGTTTAAAGCAAGATAATTAGCTGAAGAGATCTAGTATTTCACCCCACCCTGCTTTAAAAGAAAGTGGCCCATTTGTTAGCATTAGAATAGATTTTTCTGTGTTCTGATAAAGCCCAGAGGTTCCAATCAGGGTCAGAGCTCTGTTGTGTTCCATGGTGTACAAACGCAGAGGTCGGGGGGCGGTTGTCACAGCGAGCTGTTCAGAGGAGCAGACAGATACAGACCTTGCAGAAGGGTCCGAAGCAGTTGAGCCTTCCTAAGGCTTCCCCTGAATGCTTAGGTAATACAGACCTGCACATAGACCAGTTGTGTTAAACACCCTCTCTGTTATGCTTTGCCATGTTCCTGCTGCAAATGTTAAACTCTCCTTCCTTTTCCGAAGGTTCTTTTGGGTCACTGTATTCACCACTGCTTCCCGAAGGGAAGACTTGCAGATACAGCTGCATGAATTATGGATTTCTTGGTTTGTTGGCAATTTTGAAAAGTTAAAAAAAGTCATTCTGGATCAGAACAAAATGATAATTTTTGGCAAATCACAGAGTAAAAACTAATACTAATGATGATGATTATTATTATTACTTCTTCATCATTTGGTCAAACAAAACAGTTCAATTTTGAACATTTTAAAATATTTTTGGATTTCTTCAAGAGCAAATGAAAGGAAGTTTGAACCAAAATGTCATTTTGAAATGAAAAATTAAAATGTTTCAATTTTTTCAAAAACTTTCCCCAAAAGAACAAGTCTGTGAAATCGACGTGAATTTGTGAAATATTGCGGTGTCACTGAATCCGCATTTTTCACTGAAAACAAGTTTTGGTCAAAAACTTTTGCTCAGCTCTGCTTGCAGGTGCCAAACCAGACCTGCTCTGAGAGCTGGGGAATCTCAGGATTCCACCCTGGGGAGGTAACAGCACGAGGTGTAACACCTGATGGGGGGCTCTCAGAGACCAGAGAAGCGGTCAAAGGTGCAGCTGCCCTGGTAACACTGACACACTCCGTTCGCTATAATGGGGTGACACAGGCCTAACAGAGAAGAGAATTTAGTGCACCCACTTTTTATGCCATTGGTGATCCAGACATTGCAAGCCTCATCTAGATGCTTATTATTATTTATCAATTAGTAGTATTATTGCTTATACAGCACTGTAATTGGACCCAGCATTTTACAGCTGGCAACATGCAGAGCAGAATAGAATCCAGCTCTCACTCTAAAGAGTTTATAGTCTGAAGACACAAACAGGTTCAGGACGGACAGTGGCATTCTAGGGACATTCTAGGTGGTAGAAGGAACAGAGCAGGTGGTGGTTGAGGAGTAGCTTGAAGGCGGAGATACTCAGGGATAGCTAATTAGGAAGCTGTTCTAGCAGAAGGGGTGCCATGAAGACAGGTGGGAAATGGGGAGAGGGAGGAGGAAGCAAAGGGGGGAACCGGTTGTGGGGAGCCCAGGAAGTGGGACTCAGGTGCAGGCAGATTTAGGTCTGAGAAACTGGTAAGTTTGTTATCAAGGACAAAGTGACCCAGTGTCTCCCCAGGCATTCCTGCCCTTGCTGAAGAAGGCTGCCCAGGGCAGCAACCAGAAAGGGATGAGCTGCAGCAAGGCGGCCATTGTCAACATCTCCACTGTTCTGGGATCCATTGAGAAAACTCCTGAAACGTTCTCCTTCGTGCCAGTAGTCTCCTACCGCTGCAGTAAGGTATGGCTCCCCCAGGCTAACCAGTCATGGGGTAGTCACTGAATCTCATATTTCTCAGCCTGAAGATAATGAGTGAAGGTGATGACCATTCTGAAATAGTTACATCCACGATGCCCAAAATGGAGCATATTTAACCCGCAATAGGAAAGGTAGGTCTTTGTCCATCTCTTGTGACTGGTCCATATAACAGAATTAATTAAGTCTGTTAATTTTAATGATCCGGAGGATGGTGTGGATTGCACCCTCAGCAAGTTTGCAGATGACACTAAACTGGGAGGAATGGTAGTGTGACAAAGCTCTGTCCTTGCCTCCGTGGGTCCCGTGTTTCTTGGCGGATTTTTGCTAGCCTCAGAGGCTCACTGTGACCCTCTCTCTCTGGAGACAAGGGTCACAGTCTACTGAGCCACTTTCATCATAAGCCAGCGAGGGAGGTGAGGAGAAGTTATCCTTCCTTGCACAGTCTCTGTTGTCTCCTAGTCTCAGTGATTAATCAGGGGGCAAAGGTTGGCGGGTGGGGGGAGCCTGGGCCCACCCTCTACTCCAGGCTCCAGCCCAGGGACCCTATGGTAGCTGACCTTTTAGAAACATGACATGTACAATTCCTTGGGCTACTTCCCCCACAGCAGCCCTCACTTCCTCAAGCTCCACTTCACCCTTACCTCAGGACCTCCTTCCTTGTGCCTGATATGATGTGTACTGCTCAGCCTCTCCAACAGCGCAACTTCCTCCCACAGCTCCTGACATGCACACCCGCCTGACTACCTGGGAGGCTTTTAACTAGTTTCAGCCAGCCCCTGATTGGCTTCAGGTGTCCCAATCAACCTAGCATTCTCCCTGCCTTCTGGAAAGTTCTTAATTGGCCCCAGGTGTCTCAATTGACCTGGAGCAGCTGCCATTTCACTTATCCTGGCACCAGGGATTTGTTTAGCCTGGAGCTAATATATCTATCTCCCACTACTTTTCTATAGCCATCTGGCCTTGCCCCATCACAGTATTTATGCTAGAGGTTAGGGATAGGATACAGAGGGACCTAGACAAATTAGAGGATTGGGCCAACAGAAGTCTGATGAGGTTCAACAAGGACAAGTGCAGAGTCCTGCACTTAGGACGGAAGAATCCCATGAACTGCTACAGACTAGGGATGGAGCAGCTAGGCAACAGTTCTGCAGAAAAGCACCTAGGGGTTACAGTGGGCGAGAAGCTGGATATGAGTCAACAGTGTGCCCTTGTTGCCAAGAAGGCTAAAGGCATTTCGGGCTGTTTAAGTTGGAGCATTGCCAGCCAATCGAGGGACGTGATCATTCCCCTCTATTCGGCATTGGTGAGGCCTCATCTGGAGTACTGTGTCCAGTTTTGGGCCCCGCACTACAAGAAGGATGTGGAAAAATTGGAAAGAGTCCGGTGGAGGGCAACAAAAATTATTAGGGGCCTGGAGCACATAACTTGTGAGGAGAGGCTGAGGGAACTGGGATTATTTAGTCTGCAGAGGAGAAGAATGAGGGGGGATTTGGTAGCTGCTTTCAATGACCTGAAAGGGGGTTCCAAAGAGACTGTTCTCAGTGGTAGCAGATGACAGAACAAGGAGTAATGGTCTCAAGTTGCAGTGGGGAAGGTTTAGGTTGGATATTAGGAAAAACTTTTTCACCAGGAGGGTGGTGGAGCACGGGAATGGGTTACCTAGGGAGGTGGTGGAATCTCCTTCCTTAGTGGTTTTTAAGGCCCGGCTTGATAAAGCCCTGGCTGGGATGATTTAGTTGGGGATTGGTCCTGCTTTGAGCAGGGGGTTGGACTAGATGACCTCCTGAGGTCCCTTCCAACCCTGATATTCTATGATTCTATGAATAACCTTCCCTGTAGCACCCAGTGAGGAAAGAGGCAGAGGGGGGAAAAGAACTCCTGGACCTTCTCCCGCTCCAGTCCTGGGACAGGGGCATGAAGGGGTTGCAGATGGAGCAGTGGTGAGATGGGGAACAGAACTGATGTCAAGCTTGGGGGGGCAGAATTAATTGCTTTATTGAGATGGGGGTGATGATAACCCTCCCACACACTTTTGTCAGACTGCTATAAGCACTGACTGTGAGTGCATAGTTATTGATTTCACTCTGGGACAGGATGTAAAATATTGCCCCCTTTTCCTTGGTGGCATAACAGGAACCGTCCTCGGCCAGATATAATCCACCATACTGGCCAGACTCCTTCTGAAGCGAGATGTATGTGGCGCTACAAAGGTGTTGGAAGCTTCATACTCTCTCCTTGGGAAGTTTGCTGCCCCCACAAATTCCACCACACTTGGCTCCAACACTGCTAAGTCTTTTGATCTTACAATCGCCTATTGCCTCCACCCCACAGCTTGTAAATGCCCATGTGCGTTGAGCTCCCAAGGGGCATGGGCTCACTACGCGTCCCGTGGCCATCTTCTTGGAATTTCTTCCTGCATGTGCATGCTGCTGCTCTCTCCAACAGCCCAAGTTTTGTTTTAAGACCAATATTTTTCAGACACCCTATTGCTCACCTGAAGGGTCCCAAGGTGCTGAGCAAACCCTGCAATGGAAAACCTGTCTTATGAAAGGAGACTCAAGGGGCTTGGCTTGTTTAGCCTAACTAAAAAAAGGTTGAGGGGAGATATGATTGCTCTCTATAACTATATCAGAGGGATAAATACCAGAGAGGGAGAGGAATTATTTAAGCTCAGTACCAATGTGGACACAAGAACAAATGGATATAAACTGGTCATTGGGAAGTTTAGACTTGAAATTAGACGAAGGTTTCTAACCATCAGAGGAGTGAAGTTTTGGAATAGCCTTCCAAGGGAAGCAGTGGGGGCAAAAGACCTATCTGGCTTTAAGATTAAACTCGATAAGTTTATGGAGGAGATGGTATGATGGGATAACATGATTTTGGTAATTAATTGATCTTTAACTATTCATGGTAAATAGGCCCAATGGCCTGTGATGGGATGTTAGATGGGGTGGGATCTGAGTTACTACAGAAAATTCTTTCCTGGGTATCTGGCTGGTGAATCTTGCCCATATGCTCAGGGTTTAGCTGATCACCTTATTTGGCGTCGGGGAGGAATTTTCCTCCAGGGCAGATTAGAAGAGGCCCTGGAGGTTTTTTGCCTTCCTCTGTAGCATGCGGCACGGGTCACTTGCTGGAGGATTCTCTGCTCCTTGAAGTCTTTAAACCATGATTTGAGGACTTCAATAGCTCAGACATACGTGAGTGGTTTTTCGCAGGAGTGGGTGGGTGAGAGTCTGTGGCCTGCGTTGTGCAGAAGGTCAGACTAAATGATCATAATGGTCCCTTCTGACCTTAGTATCTATTACTCCTGGGGGAATTCTGCGCCAAAAACATAAAATGTCTATGCCAAAAATTTTAAAATTCTGCACAAAATATTTTACAATTCTGCAAAATTCTGCATTTTATTTGTGAAAATAACACAATATAATCACTCCAGTTTCAATTGTTTTTGTAATTTATTTCAAAATACCTGTCAACAAGTATGTCAACAATATAGACAACAGCAAAAAAGAGTCCCCCAGCAGTAGAGAGTTACAGAAACCCCTATGACAATCCAGTTCCAGTTGGGGGCTGTTGGAGGGGCCTGTGTGGGGCCCCCCAGAGCCCAGACACTTGCACTCACATCTCCCCAGAGCCCAGCTGTGGGGAACCCCCCCAGCCCAGATACCCCCATCCTGCTAGAGCCCAACCAGGGGGCATTCCCCGTCCCAGACACCAGCACCCCCAGAGCCTTTATTCTCCCAGCTTCTTTACTGTTCTGCCAGGGTGTGGTGTGGTGCAGTCCTGACCTTCCTTGACCTTTTCCAGAGCCGGCTGGGTCTCCCAGGCCCTCTCCCGTCCTCAGGAGACTGAGTAGCAAGCAGAGCATGCAGCCTCCAGCCCAGCCAGGTTCAGCGCTCCAGCTCCTCTCACTGCTCTGCAGCCTCAATTTTGCGAGGGAAACAGGGAATTCTGCAAAATTCTGCATCATGCAGTGGTGAACGCGAAAGCTCAGGCGCCTGACTTAGGCACCCGGACAGCCCAACGCAGGTGCCTGCAGATGGCTGGTGCGTACAGCACTGTGAGATCCTTCAAGGGTCATCTTCACTGACCAAAAGGATCTTTATTTCCACTGCTCTGCTGAAGACGGCTAGAATTCCACTCCCTCCAAGCACCCATGGAAATGCCCCTCTTACCACTGTGGCCTCTCTCTCCCAGCTCTGACCCACCTCCCATCGAAGTGTAAATGGGGAACTTTCCTGGCTTATGCACTATGCCATTGGAATTCGCTAGTCAAAGGATCTGAGTCCTCGCTCTCACTCTCTTCAGAGGCCTGCCTGATCTCGGGGACTCCCTTTCTACTCTCATCTGTGGCAGAGTCCTTGTAACCCTGACAAGGCTGGGCCCAGGATTCTTGGGGCTCGACTCCCAATCTGGTTGTCGTACTTAGGACGGGGCTCGAGTGTCTCCACTCTGGGGTACCCTTTCTGCTCCAGACGCTTCCCTGACCCACTGATTATCGCATATAGTTCAAAGCAAACACGATTTATTAAACAGCAAGTCCTTAAAAATAAGCAGAAACTGGGAAAGGTGAAAAGAAAAGCCTTCACCGCACTCTGTGGTTTGGGGAAATCCCAAGCAGCTGTGCCTGGAATGTAAGGGAAGTGCACAGTCTGCTCCTCACATGTCCCAGGTCCCTGGACAGGCCCTGGCTGTGCTGCAGGGATGCCGCAGGTCAGACAGGCACTCTGGCGGTTGCCACATGCCCTCAGGTTCTAGGTGGCAGGGCCCTTCCCCCCAGCATCACCCCCCATGGTGGTTATGATCCCCCTCCCAGTGCGACCCGCAAGGCCTCTTGACTGGTGGGGTCTCCCTGTGCTGGGCCCTATGCCCAGGGACCCCGTCTGCCCAGCTGCTCCCTGCACCTGGCTCCAGACGGCTCCAGCCCCAGCTCCAGCTCCAGCTCCACTCTGCCTCCAGCGCATCTCTGATTCCAGCTCTCCTTAGCTTGGCCCCGCTCAGGCCCAGCAGCTCCAGCACACATAGAGGATAGGACCCCCTGCCTCATGACTCCCTCAGTGGCCTGGCTGACCTGTCAATCAGGCTAAGCTGGAGCCTTGGCCTCAGTCAGTCAGTCTCAGGGTCCTGATCTCTCATCGGCCCTTCCCCCTTCTTTTGGTATTGGGAGATGGCCAACCACAAAACCTCACTGAGTATCAGTGAGGGGCCAACAGTTCCTTCACAGAAGGCTCCTTCCTCTCTTCTTCCCTCTGCTGCCTTTCCCTTGCCCCAGGATCTTCTTCCCCCTGCCACTGCAGCACTTCCCCCCCACACACACACCCTGGCTGAATCCCTCAGTTCCTGGCTAGTCAGGCAGTGAATGTTCATCAGTCCCAGATGCAGCGTCCCACACGTGCGAATGAGCCGGGCTTGGTGGGTTGTGCCTGGGGGGTGCTGTGGCTCTGCTTTGGCTCACCATGTGCTTCGCCTCTAGGCAGCGCTGAACATGCTCACAAAGTGCCAGTCGATGGGATACAAGCAAGACGGGATCCTGTGCACTGCGCTGCACCCGGGCTGGGTGAAAACCGAGCTGGGAAACTTTCAACCTAACGTGCAGGTAGCGATGGCTCTCAGCAGAGAGATTGTCTGGGGAAAGGTGGGGTTGCACCAGCATTTCCTTTTACTCAGAGATCCTTCTGCTGCCTCTACTGTGATATGTGTGTTGGCAGGGAAAACGAACTTGCGCCAGATATTTAATACAGCCATAATTAAATCATTTGCTCAGGAGAAAAATGGAACATTCACAGAGGATCCACCAGCCTTCAGGCCACATCATTCATGAAATAAAATGAAGGACTTTCAGCAAAAACAGGCTTCTGATGCTACAGAGCGGGCTGTGGAGAAAGCCTTCTGCAGCACACACTACTGAGCCTCATCAACCCCAGTGATAGTTAGGAAATACAGGACCAGCGCATCTCCACCAGAGCTAAGCAACAACAGCATGAGGGCCAGTGTATCCCAGCTGCTGCTGTTTCTATGGCTGTAGTATATGCAGGCCTGCTCTGCGCGGGGTTAGAGAACAGGAAGCTAAAAAGGCCAATTGGCAGCGCATGCTGGTGCGCTCACCTTTGTTAGCACTGGGGAAGCTGAACTGGTCCTAGTGCAATGGTGCATGTCCCAAAATGGGTTTGTGTAGATGCAGCCTCTGAGCCATCCTCAGTCTTGAAATCAGTGTTTTCCAATGATATACTCATTCCATTTCTATGTAAGTCCAGAGCTCCCCCTGTCTGTATAGCCACTAGGATTTGGGAAATGTTAACCATGGTGTCGCAGGGTGGCTGGCTCTTTAAGGGGAGTTGGGTGCAGCCTCACCCGTGGCAGATCAGTTACTCTCCAGCTGAGACTGATCAGCTAGGGACCAGGTGATTAGAAAAGCCAGCAAGAGGCTCAGTTGGGGTAGAAAGCTGCCAGGAGCACGGAGACTGGTGGGAAGCCCCCCCCCCCCCCCCGTCAAGGTGAATCACTGCTGGGAGCAGGGTGTGGTAAGTGGCCTGTTGAATGGAAACCTTTAGGGGCTAGACAGGCCCCCACAGAAGACTCCAGGTTAGGGGGAAGGAACACTTGATTGAGCTGCACTAGTTTTATATGCAAAAGAAGATTCTTTAGGCCAGGAGTTCTCAGACCCCCTTCAGGCAAGTGGGATCCAACCCGGTTTCAGAGGGTCACAACTGCCTTCCTTGCTAGATAGCCAGATACCCTGGATTTCTTTCTGTTGGAACATGGGGTCACTATATGGAAGAGGTTGAGAACCCCCAGCCAGCCCTGGATACTCAGTGCTTGGAGAGGAAAGTGCAGTTGTATTCTGTCTCACACTCTGGCATGAATGTTGCAGGCAGACCTGACGGTGGACGAGAGCGTGAGCGGGCTTATGAAGGTGATTTGTGACCTCTCTGAGAAACACCATGGCATGCTGATGAGCTGGGAAGGAAACACCCTGCCCTGGTGAGAACCCAGCGTGGAGGTGTGAAAGAATCAAGGAGCAGCCTCTGCTGAGCACTCTGGCACCTCTCTGTGCAACTGTCATAAATATGGATGAATAAAAATCACCCCCTGAATCAGAGCCTGTGTTGAGTCTCTTCTCAGTGATGCCATGGGGGCAGGAGACAGCAATGGGACACAAACCAAGGAAGAGAACTACTTTAAATGGGCAAATCCTTCACTTAGTGCCAGCAGTGCAGAGGGCCCCGCCTGCAGCACACCTGCCGCAGTTCCATTGGCTGGGGGAGAGCCTGCCCCAGCCGCCCTCCCCACCATACACACTATGCCAGCTTTCTCACTTCCATTCAACACTGGCCACCCCACCAAAATCCACCACCCCTACGAACACTGCAGTTTGCTCGCCACACTTTCATGTTGGCTGGGTCCCCCACTGGGCTGCTGCGCAGTCTGCTGCCCTCCTGGGGCCAACTCCTGCAGCTCTGGACCCTGCCACTCTCCCCACTGCTCCAAGGGCTGACACTCATTGGATTGGTTCTGGCCAAGGCCTCCCCCAGCTCAGTGACATCACTATACATTTCCAAGCACTATACCAGGGACAAGGTGCAGCACACCCCAGCCAGGCAGTCCTGAGCCAAGCTCAGAGGAGGAAGCAGCTGTACATTGGCAGCTGGAACAGAGGGCAGAAAGAAAGGGCTGCCCATTTGGGGTCACGATAAGAAAATGCTGCTGCACTGAGGCCCAGAGCCCAATCTCTTTACGAGTACGATGAACTGAGGATCTCCATCTGCTGAGAGCTGGGCGATAGGTTCATTTTGTCCATCCGAGCTCCTGTCCCTGTGGCATGTGGAAAAGCCCAGTGGCTTTTTTTTTCCACTGGAAATACTTCGCCTGATGCATCCCAAGACTGCATTAGCTTTTTTCATGGCCATATCACATTGGTGGTTCATAGTCATCCTGTGGTCAACCAATACTCCAAGGTCCTTCTCCTCCTCTGTTACTTCTAATTGATGCATCCCCAGGTTATAACTAAAATTCTTGTTATTAATCCCTAAATGAATGATCTTACACTTCTCACTATTAAATTTCATCCTATTACTATTACTCCAGTTTACAAGGTCATCCAGTATGATATCCCAGTCCTTCTCTAAATTGGCAATACCTCCCAGCTTTGTATCATCCGCAAACTTTATTAGCACACTCCCACTTTTTGTGCCGAGGTCAGTAATAAAAAGGTTAAATAAGATTGGTCCCAAAACCGATCCCTGAGGAACTCCACTGGTAACCTCCCTCCAGCCTGACAGTTCACCTTTCAGTAGGACCCACTGTAGTCTCCCTGTTAACCAGTTCCTTCTCCACCTTTCAATTTTCATATTGATCCCCATCTTTTCCAATTTAACTAATAATTCCCCATGTGGCACGGTATCAAACGCCTTCTGAAATCTAGGTAAATTAGATCCACTGCGTTTCCTTTTGTCTAAAAAATCTGTTACTTTCTCAAAGAAGGAGATCAGGTTGGTTTGGCACAATCTACCTGTTGTAAAACCGTGTTGTATTTTGTCCCATTTACCATTGACCTCAATGTCCTTAACTACTTTCTCCTTCAAAATTTTTTCCAAGACCTTGCATACTACAGATGTCAAACTAACAGGCCTCTAGTTACCCGGATCACATTTTTTTCCTTTCTTAAAAACAGGAACTATGTTCGCAATTCTCCAATCACATGATACAACCTCTGAATTTACAGATTCATTAAAAATTCTTGCTAATGGGCTTGCAATTTCATGTGCCGATTCCTTTAATATTCTTGGATGAAGATTATCTGGGCCCCCCAGTTTAGTCCCATTAAGCTGTTCGAGTTTTGCTTCTACCTCAGATATGGTAATATCTACTTCCATATACTCATTTCCATTTGTCATGCTACCATTATCCCTAAGATCCTCATTAGCCTCATTAAAGACTGAGGCAAAGTATTTGTTTAGATATTGGGCCATGCCTAGATTATCCTTAACCTCCACTCCATCCTCAGTGCTTAGCGGTCCCACGTCTTCTTTCTTTGTTTTCTTCTTATTTATATGGCTATAGAACCTTTTGCTATTGGTTTTAATTCCCTTTGCAAGATCCAACTCTACTTAGAATCATAGAATCATAGAATCATAGAATATCAGGGTTGGAAGGGACCCCAGAAGGTCATCTAGTCCAACCCCCTGCTCGAAGCAGGACCAATTCCCAGTTAAATCATCCCAGCCAGGGCTTTGTCAAGCCTGACCTTAAAAACCTCTAAGGAAGGAGATTCTACCACCTCCCTAGGTAACGCATTCCAGTGTTTCACCACCCTCTTAGTGAAAAAGTTTTTCCTAATATCCAATCTAAACCTCCCCCACTGCAACTTGAGACCATTACTCCTCGTTCTGTCATCTGCTACCATTGAGAACAGTCTAGAGCCATCCTCTTTGGAACCCCCTTTCAGGTAGTTGAAAGCAGCTATCAAATCCCCCTCATTCTTCTCTTCTGCAGGCTAAACAATCCCAGCTCCCTCAGCCTCTCCTCATAACTCATGTGTTCCAGACCCCTAATCATTTTTGTTGCCCTTCGCTGGACTCTCTCCAATTTATCCACATCCTTCTTGAAGTGTGGGGCCCAAAACTGGACACAGTACTCCAGATGAGGCCTCACCAATGTCGAATAGAGGGGAACGATCACGTCCCTCGATCTGCTCGCTATGCCCCTACTTATACATCCCAAAATGCCATTGGCCTTCTTGGCAACAAGGGCACACTGCTGACTCATATCCAGCTTCTCGTCCACTGTCACCCCTAGGTCCTTTTCCGCAGAACTGCTGCCTAGCCATTCGGTCCCTAGTCTGTAGCTGTGCATTGGGTTCTTCCGTCCTAAGTGCAGGACCCTGCACTTATCCTTATTGAACCTCATCAGATTTCTTTTGGCCGAATCCTCCAATTTGTCTAGGTCCTTCTGTATCCTATCCCTCCCCTCCAGCGTATCTACCACTCCTCCCAGTTTAGTATCATCCGCAAATTTGCTGAGAGTGCAATCCACACCATCCTCCAGATCATTTATGAAGATATTGAACAAAACCGGCCCCAGGACCGACCCTTGGGGCACTCCACTTGATACCGGCTGCCAACTAGACATGGAGCCATTGATCACTACCCGTTGAGCTCGACAATCTAGCCAGCTTTCTACCCACCTTATAGTGCATTCATCCAGCCCATACTTCCTTAACTTGCTGACAAGAATACTGTGGGAGACCGTGTCAAAAGCTTTGCTAAAGTCAAGAAACAATACATCCACTGCTTTCCCTTCATCCACAGAACCAGTAATCTCATCATAAAAGGCGATTAGATTAGTCAGGCATGACCTTCCCTTGGTGAATCCATGCTGACTGTTCCTGATCACTTTCCTCTCATGCAAGTGCTTCAGGATTGATTCTTTGAGGACCTGCTCCATGATTTTTCCAGGGACTGAGATGAGGCTGACTGGCCTGTAGTTCCCAGGATCCTCCTTCTTCCCTTTTTTAAAGATTGGCACTACATTAGCCTTTTTCCAGTCATCCGGGACTTCCCCCGTTCGCCACGAGTTTTCAAAGATAATGGCCAATGGCTCTGCAATCACAGACGCCAATTCCTTCAGCACTCTCGGATGCAACTCGTCCGGCCCCATGGACTTGTGCACGTCCAGCTTTTCTAAATAGTCCCTAACCACCTCTATCTCCACAGAGGGCTGGCCATCTCTTCCCCATTTTGCGATGCCCAGCGCAGCAGTCTGGGAGCTGACCTTGTTAGTGAAAACAGAGGCAAAAAAAGCATTGAGTACATTAGCTTTTTCCACATCCTCTGTCACTACTTGACTTTTAGCCTTTCTCACTTTATCCCTACATGTTCTGACCTCAAAAAGGTAGCTTTCCTTGCTGATCCCTCCCATCTTCCACCCCCTGTATGCTTTCTGTGTCCTGTCCTGAGGCTTCCTCATCCCCTTTTCCCACCCACACCGGCAGGCAGCTGCTGCAGGAGCGCATGATGGAGGCTCTTGTGTTGCTAGGCAGCTCTGTATGGCTGAAAGGGGAAAGAGCTGACGAACCTGCCATTGACTCGCGCGGCTCTGTGCTCAGTCAGCCGGGGCGGGCCAGGCTGCGGATGTGACTCAGGCTTGGGTAGCATGGCCGTGCTTCCCTGATGAGGCATGAGGCAGGCCAAGAGCTTTGGCAGCCAAAAGGGAAGTGAGAGGGAGGAAGTCTTAGAGCCTGCACCTCTTGTCCATTTTTCCCTTGCCGCTTGGGCAGAAGCGGGAAGGGAGCAAAACGTGCCTGGCTGAAGGTTTTCGCTCAGCCTTGAGGATTAAACCCGAGCCCCCAGTGTGGCTGCTGGGAGATGGATTTTTGTGTTGCATCCAGCACAAGCTTCAGGCCACCAGCTGAAGTCACTGTGTCCAAGAGGGACGACTTCGAGGCAGCAAAAGGGTGACTTAATGGCTCCCAGCAGACCTTGAGGAGCCCACGAGGAGCATGCCTTCAGCAGCATCCCTGGGGGAGCATAAACCACTCTCCTTTCGATTAACAGCTGAATGCATTGACCTATGATGCCACATTGACACCTACCAGCAGCTGGTTTGGCAGGGCCGCTGCCCAGCACCCTGCACCGCTTCCAGAGCTTGCAAAGCGCTAGCCGGGAGCCAGGGCCTCTAGGTGCTGCACCCATAACACAGAGCTCAATTAATCAAGACCCTCTTCTGCTAGCACTGGGCCTCCTTTTTCTTACACTGTCTAGTTGGCAGCCGGTATCAAGAGGAGTGCCCCAAGGGTGGCTCCTGTTGCCGCTTTTGTTCAATATCGTCATTAATGATCTGGAGGATGGCGTGGATTGCACCCTCAGCAAGTTTGCAGATGACACTAAACTGGGAGGAGTGGTAGATACGCTGGACGGTAGGGATAGGATGCAGAGGGACCTAGACAAATTGGAGGATTGGGCCAAAAGAAATCTGAGATTCAGCAAGGACATGTGCAGAGTCCTGCTAAGATTCTATGATTCTATCCCTGATTATCTTGGCTAATACCTGATGAACCTATCCTGAGGAACTGATCTAATTCTTTGTTGAACCCATTTATAG